ACTAAACACCTCAAATGATGTAGTTGAAGTTTTAGCAGTAAAAATCGACAACCAAAACCCTGTCACTGGTTGTATACAAACCGACGGAAGCAACTTTCCAGCAATTCCAAGAACAACTTTTCAAAATTTACCACTGTCTGGAAAATCTCCCAACACCTGCCCCAAATATCTTGCTACTGGGGGATTTCAACCTGAGACACCTAAAATGGAGGAGTAGAGCAAACAATGTTTAAGCAGAGATCACCCCGGGAGGCAGCTCAGATGAAAATTCACACACACACGAGCTATTAAATCTCTGCACCAAATTCACCCTAAACCAGTAAATATTAGAGCCTACAAGACTAGAAAATACGCTGGACCTCATCTTCAACAACGACGATCTGATACGTAATATAACCATATCAAAGACCATACACTCAGATCACAACATAACAGAGGTATAGTCATGTATGCACAGGGCTCCTGACCAACAAAATGTTATCAGTTATGAGGGTGTCTTCACAAAATTTAACTTCAATAACAAAAACATACACTGGGAACAAGTCAACCATGTGCTAAATGAAACAAGTTGGGAAGATATCCTAATCAACATGGATCCAAACCTTAACCTAGAAAAAATTAATTCTGGGGCACTTGAGGTCTGCTCAAGGCATATCCCATTATGCATCACCTCCCGCCCTCACCCACCCGAGGACTACACACGTCCACGCAGCCTAGCGCATTCCACGGAAGGGACACGGAGACACGCCGGTCCGAGCTCGGTTCGGGAGGCAGCCGCAGCAGCAGCAGCAGCAGGAGCAGCAGAAGCTGTTGTGACACACACCGCTGACTGGCTGACTGACTAACTGACTGACTGAAGACTGCCTGATGTTCCTTTGCCTCGCCCAGTCCTGCGCCCGAGCCCAGGCCCGCTTCCTGCACAGGCCCGACCCTCAGAGCCAATCCTTATCCCGAAGTTACGGATCTAACTTGCCGACTTCCCTTACCTACATTAATCTATCGTCCAGAGGCTGCTTACCTTGGAGACCTGATGCGGATATGGGTACGCACAGGACCGAAATAGGGGGCCATTAGCGGGCACTGAGCAAGCAGCAACAGTGGTCCCGACTCAGCCGGAGTTTGGACCAGCCTCGCGTTTTCACGGACCGGCGGTGGCGCTCGGGACGCCGCGAGAACCGCGGCGCTCTACGGCACACCGTGTTACCAACACCCTCTCTCACAGCGGATGGCTTTGAGGGTCACGGCGCCTTAAACAGAAAAGAAAACTCTTTCCCGGACCACCGCCGGTGGGCGCGAGCAGGTTCCCGTTTCCGGGATCCTCCATACTGGCAGGGCGGCTGGCTGGCTGATTTAAAGCAGCCAGCCCTCCCTGCCTGGTATCCGAGTCCTGGTTACGGAATAAGTACCGTATTCCCTTTCGCCACTGATCCAGGCAGGGAGGGGTGGCTGCTTTAAATCAGCCAGCCAGCCGCCCTGCCAGTATGGAGGATCCCGGAAACGGGAAACATG